CCGTCCCGTCCCGTCCCATCCCATCCCACTGCACTCTACTACACTCCACTTCACTCCATTCCATATTTTCTATTCTGTTCGTTCCATTCTGTTCCATCCATTCCATTCTGTCCCATCCCGTCCTGTCCCATCCCGTCCCGTCCCGTCCCATCCCATCCCATCCCATCCCATCCCATCCCATCCCATCCCATCCCATCCCATCCCATCCCATCCCATTTCTATTCCATTCCATTCCATATTTTTTATTCCGTTCTGTTCCGTTTGTTCCATTCTGTTCCATCCATTCCATTCTGTCCCGTCCCGTCCCGTCCCGTCCCATCCCATCCCATCCCACTCCATTCCATATTTTCTATTCCATTCCATTCCATATTTTCTATTCTGTTCTGTTCTGTTTGTTCCATTCTGTTCCATCCATTCCATTCTGTCCCGTCCCGTCCCGTCCCGTCCCGTCCTGTCCTGTCCCATCCCATCCCACTCCATTCCATATTTTCTATTCCATTCCATTCCATATTTTCTATTCTGTTCTGTTCTGTTTGTTCCATTCTGTTCCATCCATTCCATTCTGTCCCGTCCCGTCCCATCCTGTCCCATCCCATCCCACTCCATTCCATATTTTCTATTCCATTCCATTCCATATTTTCTATTCTGTTCTGTTCTGTTTGTTCCATTCTGTTCCATCCATTCCATTCTGTCCTGTCCTGTCCTGTCCCATCCCATCCCATCCCATCCCATCCCATCCCATCCCACTCCATTCCATATTTTCTATTCCATTCGATTCCATATTTTCTATTCCATTCTGTTCCGTTTGTTCCATTCTGTTCCATCCATTCTGTCCCGTCCCGTCCCGTCCCGTCCCGTCCCGTCCCGTCCCGTCCCGTCCCGTCCCGTCCCGTCCCATCCCATCCCATCCCATATTTTCTGTTCTGTTCTGTTCTAGTTTTCTGAACATGCATCATGCACAATCTTGCTCTTATCTCCATTTTTTTTTTGCAGGTCTCCTATTATCTGATTTTTCTCATTTACAGCTTTCTACCCTTCATCCTCACAACATGCCTCCCTTCTCCTGCTTCCCGTAGTTATCTTTCATCTGCCATCCAAATTCTCATCAGACCCAATCCGAGGTGGGCTTCGCATAATTTAACAACCGGTTCGCCGGAACACTAAGAACGTGAGCGCGTGCGTGCTTTCCGCGCATGCGTGTGGCCTTTTGTGCATGCGCTTTGGTCACATGCATGCTTGCACGCATGCACACAGATTAAAAAACGCAGCTATATAGAATGGCATAGCGCTGGAGTGGGCAAGTCACAACTACTGGTTCGCCTGAATTGTTCCGAACTGGCTGAATCCCACCTCTGGCCCCAATCCTGCTTAGCTTTCTAGGAATTTGACCCAATTCACTTGCGGTGCTCTCTATCACTTCTGTGATTGTTAGTTCCTCAACAACGGAAAGCATCGTGTGACAGCCTTAAATATTAATATGATATAATATTAACTAATATATAAAATAATGTTATATCATATTATTTTATTATAGTATTTTATTAATTCCTTATATGATTCTCTCTTTTATTCGTTTTATTGTTTTTCTATCAGGTTTTGATATTCTTGTAAGCCTGCCTTGAGTCGCCCTGTGTGAATAGGCGGCAATATACATTTCCTAAATAAATTTTATTTATTTTTATTTATTTATTTTAATTTAATTTGTATACCGCCCTTGTCCCAAAAGGAACTCAGGGCGGTGAACAGCCAAAATTAAAATATATACAAAATATATATATACAATATAATACATACAAACATATATTTGTATAATATATACAAAAGTTAAGATAATTAAAAGAGATTAACTCAATCGGCCTCCCAATTTAAAACCCCAAGTCTATAAAATTTAAAAATCCCATTAAAAACCTATTCAGGCCAGGCCTGCTTGCTGAAATAAAAACGTCTTCAGGGCCTTACGGAAAGTGCGGGGATCCGGGATCAGTCGTATTCCGGGAGGTAGCTCATTCCAGAGGGCGCGTGCCCCCACAGAGAAGGCTCTCCCCCTGGGGGCCGCCAGCCGACATTGCCTGACCGACGGCACCCTGAGGAGGCCCTCTCTGTGAGAGCGTATTGGCCGGTGGGAGGTTATCGGTAGCAGCAGGCGGTCTCGTAAGTACCCTGGCCCTAAGCCATGGAGCGCTTTAAAGATGAGAACCAACACCTTAAAGTGCACCCGGAAGACCACCGGGAGCCAGTGCAGCTCGTGCAGGAGAGGTGTTACATGGGAGCGCCACGTCGCTCCCGTAATCCCAAATAAAATCCCAAATAAAATAAAATAAGGCTTCCTCTGTAAAGCAAGGTTAAGAAAACTTGATTTATTTCCTCCCTCTCTCCCCTCCAAATACAAATGGCCAAATCGCACACTAGATGGCAGCGGAGACAAATCCGGGGCTTGAAACAACGGGAACAAAAATGTAGGCAAAGCTGTCACGTCAACATTTGCACTATTTCATATTTATGGAAGTCCGCCAGGCATCCCGAGACCCCCGGGGGGAATTGATGAGTTTTCTATTTCAGCCGGCTGACTATCGAAGGCCTGGTCAGAGGCTTCAAAAGAGGCTGTTTCACAGGGCCTAATATCAGGGTTCGAAACGGTGGCCAGCCTTCGGCGCGGCCTCCCCAGGCTGCCACCCCCCTGCCACCCCCCACTCCCCATTTTCTGTCCATCCATGTGTGTGTGCTGGCATTAGGAACCGCAGCGAATAGTCTTTTTGCGGTCAACATATAATAATAACAAAGTTCCAATTTGTTCCCCCCAATTCTTTTTCCATTAACCCCAAGAGAAAAAGTTTCTGGTTTCATTTTTATCTCCCATCTTCAAGATGCTTCCTGCAGTCCTGACCTCCAGAGGCATGTGAGAAGTTTTTACATCCCAAAATATATTTTATCCTTTAGATTGTTTTCCATCTTCCCTTGGAGCACGAATAGAATCCACAATGGCCCCAGAAATCGGCGTCTCCGCTAGATAATTGTACAGTCCAGCTGAAACTAAATTAATCCAGCAAAAATAGCAAACGGCAGGCAGGGGCCGAAATCCTTTAGCCAAACTTCCTCAAACCCACCAAATAAGTTATCCAGACCAGTGGTGGGTTGCTCCCGGTTCGCACCGCTTCGCGAGAACTGGTAGCGGTGACGATATGACGTCACCGAACCGGTTCTCTGTCTTCGGGAGCTGGGTCCTCCCGCCCGCCCCGCCGTTATGCCGACCTTATATTTCTTATTTTTTCGCCCAGCTGAGAGGTGCGGCATCTCAGCTGGGCAGATTTGCAATGCGCTTGCGCAAAGTGCAAGTTTGGCGCCCAGGTGAGCAAAGCGAGCATGTGCACGGCGATTGCGTGCAAAGCGCGTGACTGAAGAGGCGATCGCGAGCGAAGCGCGCGCACAAAGAGAACCAGTAGTAAAGCCGGTTAGAACCCACCCCTGATCCAGACCCAATCCACATATCAAAGGAGAAGGTCTGCAAACACAAATAGAGTTAATGAAATTAGGTCTTCCAACGGAACTGCACATTCACAAGAACAAGCCTACCTACACACACACACACACACCTCAAGTATCACCCTTGAATCAGCACGTAAACACTTCCACGGCCTCAAACAGCTCTACCTATAAAAGTCTGTCACTGTATCTCATTTCTCTGCAGCTGCCCCCAAAAAAGCAAATTGTTTTGCTTTTAGGAATAAATTTATTTCCTTACAGCTGTCTGGATCTCATTTTTATTGATTCTTACGCAGCCCCGGCTCGAACCGGAACTCCAAATTATTCTCCTGACAGCCAGGGATGGACTTTTGCAAAATTTGCAAAATTGAGTTTGGGTAAAAAGTGTAGAAAAAGAGGAAGGCTAACCTCCTCTTTGTCCCAAACGTGCTTTTCCCAAAAGGCAACTGGACTTCTTTGATTTTTATTTTCCTTTGGAAACGCCTCGCTTCTCATCCAAGAAACTTCCAAGATATAAAACCCAAGAAAGTTGGGACAAAGAGGGGGGAATAGTCTTCCTCTTTTTCTACACTTTTTACCCGAACTCAATTTTGCAAATTTTGCAAAACTCCATTCCTGGCTGTCCAGAAGAGTAATTTGGGGTTCCGGCTTGAGCCGGGGCTGCTCAACAATCATTTTGAGATCCAGACATTTTGGAAAAAAAGGCATTTTGGGGACAAATTTGACCTGGATGATTGAGAATCTCCATAGATATATATATCTGTTGTGGTCCACCAGCAACCTGCAGAGGTGGCAGCGGAGTCGGACAGTGATAAGCCGGGGGAGGAAAATGGACCAGTCCTGGAGTCAGGAGAAGGCCCGGACGTGGGCTCTGCGTCGGAGGCAGAGATGGGGCCAGGGCCATCGGGGAGTGATGTGCAGACTTCGGAGCCTCCAGAGGCTGACAGCAGAGAGGCAGAGGAACAGGAGGAGCCTGTTCCTAGTGCGTGCATGCGCAGAGCTGCCAGAAGGCAAGAGCAGCTAAAGCAAAAAGGACGACTCGGGAGTAAGGCCTGGAGATGATTGGCCCCTCCCATAAGGTTTAAAAGAGGAGCAAAGGCACGTGGGCCCTTTGCAGGAGAGCAACGTTGTGGATGGTGTCAGTTTGTACTTTGAAGCTCCGTTTTTGACTCTCTGTTTCCGTGTGGCCTTGCCAAGATAATTGCCAATTAGGTCTTTGGCAGCGTGTCAAAGAAGATAAAGGTGGGTGTTTACCAGCCTTATCCGAAGGACTGTGGCAGACTTCTGTTGGACTATTTATAAACTCTGGGTGATTCAGCACGTGCTGTGAATGAAAGGAATTCACAGCCGTTAAATTAAAAAAAGGGATTTTGGGGACTAATTTTGTGCTTTTTACTATATCAGGAAGCCTAGGCCAGAACACTGTTCACTCACTGATTTGATATGTTTGTTAAAAAAAAAAAAAAAGAAAGAAACTTTTTTAAAAAATATATATTTTGTGTGTGGCTGTTGTGTTGCAGGAGAAAGAGAGAAAAACTACAGCCCGTCGACAAACTCCATCCAGCTGGAGACCCAGAAGTGACGTTGCAGGAGGTATGTTCCCGTATTCGCTATTTTTAAGGGGTGCATTTGTAGGTTTGGATCGGGGTGAAATCCAGCAGGTTCTGACAGGTTCTGGAGAACCGGTAGCAGAAAATTTGAGCAGTTTGGAGAACCGGTAGTGGAAATTTTGAGTAGTTTGGAGAACCGGCAAATACCACCTCTGGCTGGCCGCAGAGTGGGGTGGGAATGGAGATTTTGCAATATCCTTTCCCCAGGAGTGGGGTGGGAATGGAGATTTTGCAATATCCTTTCCCCAGGAGTGGGGAGGGAATGGGGATTTTGCAGTATCCTTCCCCTGCCACGTCCACCAAGCCACGCCTGTCAAGCCACACCACACCCACCAAGCCACATCCACAGAACCAGTATTAAAAAAAATTGGATTTCACCACTGGTTTGGGTGCAGGAACTGTTGGGGGCTCTGACCCCTTCCCAGTTTGAGGGTGCATCTCTGCTGTGTAGCATTGAACCCCCCCTGCCCCCCCGTTGGATTCCCTTCTTTAAAAATCACAAGAAAGGTTATCCCGAAGATGTATTTCCAAAAAAAGCACTGGACTCTCTTGGTTTCCAAAAAAAACTCCCAAAACGCTGGACTTTTAATGTTTCTTTCTTTCTTTCTTTCTTGAAACTGTTTCACTTCTCATCCAAGGCGCTTCTTCCGTTCTATCTTGAACGGTGGGGAATGGAAAGATATATGCGGGCGATCCTCAACTTACGACCCCAGTTGAGCCCAAAATTTATGCCATTGTTAAGGGAGGCATTTGTGAAGTGAGTTTTACCCCATTTTTACGACGTTCCTCTCCACATTTCTGATGTGAAGCGCATGTCTGAGCAAAAGTGCATGTGGAGAAGGCCGGGAGCATGCACGGACCGTGCATGTGTGCAGCGAACCGGTGGTAAAGGTAAGTGAAACCCATCCCTGGTCTTAAGTATGAAAAACCATCATAAATCCCTTTTTTCAGTGCCGTTTTAACTTCGAACGGTCACTAAACGGTTGTAAGTCGAGGAATGCCCTAGACCAGAAGTCGGCAACCCGTGGCTCTGGAGCCACATGTGGCTCTTTCTTCCCTCTGCTGTAGCTCCCTGTTGCCGGTCGGTGCCATAATTTTGAGAGGAGCTTCTGATTCGGGGGGAAAGCATAGCGCGCCAGGAGGAGACTTTATGGCAAGGGGCAGGTTTTCTGGTTGGCTGCACAATTGATAGGGCTTTTGGTTAGAACAGGTAGAGGAAAAAGGATGCTGTGCTAGGAGGAGACTCTATGTGTGTGTGTGTGTGTGTGTGTGTGTGTGTGGAAACCGGACTTCCGGTTGGCTGAGATAAAGGACGTCGTGCTAGGAGGAGACTCTATGGTGCGTGTGTGTGTGTGTGTGTGTGGGGAAACCGGACTTCCGGTTGGCTGAGATAAAGGACGTCGTGCTAGGAGGAGACTCTATGGTGGGGGAACTGGACTTCCGGTCAGCTCCAGAATTGAACGGGGGCTTCCGGTTAGGACCTTTGTGGCTCTTTGAGTGTTTAAGGTTGCCGACCTCTGCACTAGACACAAGGAAGGTTGCTTCTTCTGCTGGTCAGTTCAGGTGACTTTCTGCTTGGCTTCTCCAGCCAGCATCGTCCCTCTCCTGCCCGGAGGGCACAAAGAGGGGAGAACATCCAGGGAATTCTTGCTCAGTTGTGGAGCTTTTAGGAGAAACGCAGAGAGGGAAGTCTGTAGAGATTCTCAGTCCTCCAGGTCATGGTTGTCCCAAAGGTGCTTTTTTCAGGAGGCAACTGGACTTTCTGGGTTTTTTTCTTTTGAAGACGTTTCGCTTCTCATCCAAGAAGCTTCTTCAGCTCTGACAGGATAGTGGGGGAATGGAAGGATTTATTATTCCTTGCAGACAGCTGGTCATTTGCATCCTCTAAAAGGAAAGAATATAGGAATATAAAGGAATAAAGGAATATAAATGGAGGGAATATAAATCCTTCCACTCCCCACCATCCAGTCAGAGCTGAAGAAGCTTCTGGGATGAAAAGCGAAACATCTCCAAAAGAAAAAAGTCCAATTGCCTCCTGGAAAAAAAACAGCAGAGAAGGAAGGTTGCAGATGTTGCTGGACACGGGAAGGAGTTAGATGGGAATTGCAACAGTGGTGGGATTCAGCTGGTTCTGTCCGGTTTGCACGAACCGGTAGCGGCGACTGCGGGAGGTTCCCCCCACCTGCCCGGACATAATGTGCAACTACTGCCCATGCACAGAAAGCCGCATGCATTGCATTGGTTCGCAAGCGTGTGGGCACACAACGCTCCCATTTGCTAACCGGTAGGGAAGGTAAGTGAATCCCACCTCTGAATTGCAGAGAATTATTGTTGTTGTTGTTGTTGTTGTTGTTGTTGTTGTTGTTGTTGTTGTTGTTATTATTATTAATAATAATAATCAAATTTCTATACCGCCCTACTCCCGGAGGACTCAGGGCGGTGAACAGCCAAGATAAAATACAGCTAATACAAACATTAAAAGTCCCTTAAAATTATTAAATATTTTGGCTGAAACACAGATTAAAACACCCAATTTATAAAATCAAACGAATTAAAAATTTAAAAAAGGAGAGTTAGGCCAGGCCAGCCTGCTGAAATAAAAAAGTTTTGAGAGCACGATGAAACGTGCGCAGATCTGGGATCCTCCGTATCTGTGGGGGGAGCTCGTTCCAGATGGTAGGTGCCCCCACAGAGAAGGCTCTCCCCCTGGGGGCCGCCAGTTGACACTGTTTGGCCGACGGCACCCTGAGAAGCCCCTCTCTATGGGAGCGTACTGGTCGGTGAGAGGCTATTGGTAGCAGAAGGCGGTCTCGTAAATACCCCGGTCCGATGCCATGGAGTGCTCTAAAGGTGGTAACCAAAACCTTGAAGCACACCCGGAAGACCACCGGGAGCCAGTGCAGCTCGCGCAGGAGGGGGGGTCACATGGGAGCGCCACGCCGCTCCCATAACCACCCGCGCGGCCGCATTCTGGACCAGCTGGAGCCTCTGGGTGCTCCTCAAGGGGAGCCCCATGTAGAGAGCATTGCAGTAGTCCAGGCGGGAAGTAACGAGAGCATGAGTGACCGTATTTAACGAGACCCGATCTTTAAAAAGGGCCCCAGCCTCAGCTGGGTTATTTCAGAGCCCGGCTGTGGCCGCCAGTCTCTTCCCTCCTTCTCCATCGTCCTCTTCCCCTTGCAGGCAATCTGTTGAAAGACGCCCACCTTCAGCGAAAAGCATCGGTTACAGTCCTTCCCAATACAGGGGCCCCCCTTTCTCTGGGTCGAGGATTTTGAACAGCTGGAAAAGCTGGGTGTCAGAGGTGTGAATTTCCAAGAGGGGGAGGGAGGGAGGGAGGGAGGGGCGGTTTAACGGAGAAAAACTCTGCGACCCACCGACAGCTCTCGACCGTCTGTCTTGTCTGAGGAGATCGGCTGACCCCTCCCTGCTCTGTCCATGGCAGAATTTTTCATCCTCCTAGCAGGCATAAAAGGATGTTGCACGCAGGCCAAGTTTCACGCTGGGATTTTTTTTTTTTTTGTGCGTTTTTTGCCATCTTCTTTTTGTGGGGTTGTTGAATTAACAGAGGGGGCTTCATATGTGTCTGGCGTTCAGTCTGAGGAAACTATCTGTCTCCAATTCCCCATTCATGGTGAACAGAAGTCCCGGGGGTTTATTGTCTGTTTTTAAACCAAGAATAAGCTTCCACACCGCATTTATATGCAGAGCACTCTTTAAGCAGCATCCAGATAATCTTTGCCCCACATTTCAGGGGACCAAAAGAAGCCAAAGGGAGGGAGGGGGGGAAGGGAGAATATTCGTAGCTCAGGGTTGAAAGGAGGGCTCCTTGGTGCTCTCTGAGCTTGGTTGTTTTCTAGCAGATGTTTTATTACCCTGTTTCCCCCAAAATAAGACATCCCCTGATAATAAGCCCAATCGGGCTTTTGAGCGCATGGCAATAAGGCCAAGCGCTTATTTCAGGGTTCAAAAAAATATAAGATGGGGTCGTATTTTTGGGGAAACACGGTCCTCAGACTAAAATAGAATCGAATAGAGTAACAGAGTTGGAAGGGACCTTGGAGGTCTTCTAGTCCAACCCCCTGCTTAGGCAGGAAACCCTACACCACTTCAGACAAACGGTTATCCAACATCTTCTTAAAAACTTCCAGTGTTGGAGCATTGACAACTTCTGGAGGCAAGTTGTTCCACTGATTCATTGTTCTCACTGTCAGGAAATTCCTCCTTAGTTCTAAGTTGCTTCTCTCCTTGGTTAGTTTACGTCCGTTGCTTCTTGTCCTGCCCTCAAGTGCTTTGGAGACTAGCTTGACTCCCTCTTCTTTGTGGCAGCCCCTGAGATATTGGAACAATGCTATCGTGTCTCCCCTAGTCCTTCTTTTCATTAAACTACACATACCTAGTTCCTGCAACCGTTCTTCTTATGTTTTAGCCTCCAGTCCCCTAATCATCTTTCTTGCTCTTCTCTGCACCCTTTCTAGAGTCTCCACATCCTTTTTACATCGTGGCAACCAAAACTGAATGCAGTATTCCAAGTGTGGCCTTACCAAGGCATTATAAAGTGGTATTAACACTTCACGTGATCTTGAGTCTATCCCTCTGTTTATGCCGCCTAGAACTGTGTTGGCTTTTTTGGCAGCTACAGCACATCATCATCATCATCATCATCATCATCATCATCATCATCATTATTATTTCAATTTGTATGCCGCCTTTCTCCAAAGACTCAGGGCTGGCTCCTATTTAAATGGTTGTCCACTAGGACTCCAAGATCCCTAGGTAATAACATCACCAGACTGGACAGCTGTTTGTCTGGAAGGGTATAGGATCTCCTGCTTGAGCAAGGGGTTGGACTAGAAGACCTCCAAGGTCCCTTCCAAGTATGTCTATGGAGATTCTCAGTCATCCAGGCCATGGTTGTCCCAAAGGTGTTTTTTTTCAAGAGGCAACTGGACTTTCTGGTTTTTCTTGGAAGACCTTTCGCTT